TAACCTCGTCCAGGCTTTCGTCGGCACACTGATGAGAATCAGCAAAGCGTGCTAGAGGATCCCCGCCCCACTTATTGTGACCGACAATAAACGGTATCACTGCCTAGAATAACATCACACCGGAGCGAATTCGTGAGAACGTGTTTCAAGTAAAATAGCAAAAATAGAAAAAAATAACATTTAGGTAACAGACAATAAAAAATCTACATCTCAGGTGTATACAAAACTACAACAGAACTGGAAGACACCAAAATAAAAGGGAAAGCATCGTGAACGCTAATACAACAATGAAGAAAACCGGATGTGGTTATTTATGTTAAATGTTTCCTGCATCACAAGTGTCATCGTCATGGTGATTAGAAAACATTGTATGTGGTACAAAATTTGTAACCTTAAATATGGTTTTACAGACACCACCTGCTTTTCACTGTCATACATGTATGTTTGGGGACAGAGCTGTCATGGATGTCCATTGCGTTGGTCCTTAGTGCCACTGATGGGACATCAATGGACGAAATGGCCAATTGGTGAAGAAATGTTTGAAACTGTTTTGCTTTCTGCCTTTAAAAGTATAACTCTTTTATGAGGTGGTTCTTTACGTTTTATGTCTAGTGATCACTTTAGTTTTTTTTATCTAATATATTCTTTTAGTTTCATTTATTTCAGATGAAATAATAATGGGTGATAACCCATTTCCTTAATTTATATCTATATATACACATGCCGTTATGTAAGTGAAACCTTAAACGCTCTGTTCAATGTTGTGTAATATGATATGTAATCGATGTTAATACGCAATGACCCACAGAAAGATAACACGATCATTAAAGACGCTTGGTACATTTAGAAACTTGGTTGCAGTTGAAAAAACGCAGATAAACTTTGATGTACCACAACATAAATCTGAGTATTATCTTTCGTATGATTCTTAGGTGTACTTTAGTCCCATCTGGTAATGCGAACTCTCAGCAATATAGTAGGCTGTAAAGTGGTGAAGACCAATAAGAGAACAGTGGGCAACCATCTCCAGCGTTTGACGGCACGTACGCCTAATGCCATTTTATCATAAAAATATATACAATGTTCTTACCCATAATCTTATAATGAAAATCCTCTGTGAACACAATGTGAAACATTCGGCATACGATAATGTTCTTAACGTGCCCCGAACGCCGATGTCTACAGGGTCTCCCTGATCGGCATGGCTCTCTTGACGTAGTACAACACATCAGTTGGACCAAACCACACATACCAACATTTCATGAATACTGACAGTCAAATCACAAAGACTACCATCTTACAAACTCTCTCTGCTGCTGTATAACATTACAAAGAAGGAAGAGAAATACACACAGAAGTTTCTTAATACAGACACATGCAGTTTACATAAACCTACTGGAAACTGAAGTACAAGGCTTTCTGGAGTTCAACATTCTATAAATGACAAACCAACCTGCGTCAATCCACATGAAGGTAAAACGAGACTGCGGCATCAAAATGGGAGAGATAAATCGAGTGCGCCTGATTTATTCGCAGCAACATAGGTAACATACATGGTGGACAAAAACGATATATCGAATATCAACGAACCTGTTGATTATAAATTGCCAAACAGAAGCTGTCTGTGAGTATACAGTACATGCAGCAAATCGCTTTATACCCAGTGGCTGATAAACAACCAGAAACAGGCGCAGAGCCGTCATATGCTTCCATGCGGTTCAGATATATTAGTCCATATGATATATGACGGTTGTCAAGAATGAAGTCAAATACATTTGTACCTATTGGAATAGAACGGATTGCTCCTGAAAATAAACCAGTCATAAACTTAAGCACCAAATTTATCTTTTCGTGATTAATTTGTTTCAGTATATATCTCCAGTTTTTCTGATGTGCAGTTGCATTAAATCAAGTTATGTATACGGATACAGTGCGTTTCTTAGCAGTGTTATTATTTTTATGAGTAGGGAAACTAATTTCTCATCAGTGAAATCCATTATCTTTCTTCCAAAAAGGTGGACATATGATACGTGTTAATGTAAAAAATACTATGAGCTTGGCTTTGATTATAGTGATGTCACAACAAAATACATATCGTTGTCGTTGTAACATCGAAATTAAATCAGCTAGCATGACTTGCATCACTCATAAACCGGATGAAAATCATATTGAGTTAGTTCAATAATGCATAATTGATCATTTATATCAGAATCAATTGATATGAAGTACTGCTAGATTCAAAATCTAATAACAATGTTACTGTTATTTGTAATAAAGTCAGTTTTATAACAGATCTGAAGTGCGTACTCTTAGTTCAGCTAGTAGACCTTGTGACATCGTAGCAGTGGTTATGGTGGTCGCGTTGTGATAGCACCAGATGTGTACTCGTGTGGTCCGGTCTTTGCAGAAGGAAACGAGTGGGAATTGAATGAGTTAAATAATGGTGATTTGGGCAGTAAAAACGGAATGGGTATCTGTGCGGAGTTTCTGGTAGTAGTGTGTAGCAAAAGATAGCGGGTTTGTATTCGTAAAGGTTTAGTGGTGGCGATTTGTGTAGTGGAAGCGGATTTTGTAGTAAGGAAACCAGGGTAATATTCAGTTACTGTTAGTGGAAGTGATTTGTGCAGGAAAGAAACAGGGCAGGTATTCGTGAGGATTTAGTGGTGACAATTTATGTAGTACAGAAATAGGGTGGATATTCAATGGTGTTAGTGGTGGTGAGTGCAGGAGAGAAACAGGGCAGGTATTCGTGAGGATTTAGTGGTGGGGAACAGGGAATATTTCTGTGGGTTAAGTGGCGATGCCACCGGCTGTATTGGTAGTTGTGGTGGCAGTGTTATACTATTGTCTGTTCTCCGGCATTAAACGGTTGTAACGAGATGTTAGTAAATAGTGTGTACGTCGTTTTGTTTACTCACAGATGTAATATAATTGCATGGTGTGAACTCAAGAGAAATTTTGTAAATGAGGTATACACGTTGTAAGTGTGTATAAGTGTCCTTTGATAATGTATTAGTGGTTCTGGTGTTAATAAATAGTGAAATATCAGTAAATGGTATGTATTCGACAGGAATTTAGTAAATGAGGTATACACGTTGTAAGTGTGTATAAGTGTCCTTTGATAATGTATAGTGGTTCTGGTGTTTATATATAGTGAAATATCAGTAAATGGTGTGTACTCGGGACAAATTTAGTTAATAAGTTATATCCAGTGTAAGTGTGTCGTAGTGTCCATTAAAAATGTAGAAGTGGCACTGGTGTTAAAATATAATGTGAGACATGATGATGTTAATAAATGTACATAAAAAGTGAACATAAATGCTTAAGTGGTAGTAAAACTTGACAACGTATGATTGTGTTAGCAAATTAAATGTACTTCTGGTTACATTGTAAGTATAATGTCAACTTAGTAAATGAAGTGTACTCGAGGTTGAGGTCTAAGTGCAAGATTTGTACTCATGATGGTGTTAGTAAATGAATTGTACTCGGTGTTATGGTGTTAGTTCAGTGTCTTCTTGTGATGGTGTTAGTCAATCAAAGCGTATTCAGTGTTATGGTGTGAGCATAAGGTGTGTATTTGGGATGGTGTTAGTATATGAGTTTTACTAGGGGTATGGTGTTAGTAGAAGATATGTACATTATATGGTGTTAGTAAATCAAAAGTACTCTGTGTTATGGTGCAAGTACAAGCTGCGTATTGTACTCGGTGTTATGGTGCAAGTACAAGATGCGTACTAGGGATGATGTTACATGTAGTATATGAGTTTTACTCAGGGTATAGTGTTTGTAAAAGATATGTACCTTATATGGTGTTAGTTAATCAAAAGTACTCTGTGTTATGGTGCAAGTACAAGCTGCGTACTACGGATGGTTTAGTAAATCAAATGTACTCGGTGTTATGGTGCAAGTACAAGCTGCGTACTAGGGATGGTGTTAGTAAATTAGTTGTACTCGGTGTTATGGTGTTAGTGCAGGGTGTGTACGCATGGCTCTTTAAATCTGTTTCATTTAACGTTGACCTGTTGATCCAGACCCTAAATGCACTTGGGTATCCATAAGGAAGTGCTGACATGAAGGAAACCGAATCTTATAGTTATGGTTTTTAGAGTGTAACAGACTACCAATCGTAGGTGGTCTGTGGTCGGTGATGTGACCCCCGCCTCCAAGGGCCTCCCCTTCCTTCAATCTGTCAAGTGCTCGGGCGTAACAAGACCATGTGGTAGCACACACAACCGTACCAGTCTAAACACTGCTATCATAAAGAACGGATACCAAACTCTCGTGATGGCACCCTGTACAGAGTGCTAATCCAATAGGCACAGTGGTAGTAAGAATGTAACAAATAGTCCGCTGTGGTTCCAATTCACCTGAGGTTGCTAATACGTCTGATGGAGTTTCATTAACCACCTGTAGGATAGGTTATCATAAGAACTCTAGCAAACGCTAAGCGTTTTTACATATTTCACATCCTTAGCGTTCAAGTCATTCCCAAAGCTACAGGAGTCGTACACAAGCTTTGCTATGGTTCGCTCTTTTGCGTTTGACGTGAAATAATTATTTTGAATGTGTTAACCCATTGTAGGCTTAGTAGTTTTTTGCCGTGTTCTCATTGTCAAACTGTCCATGGATATTTATGTGTTTTCATTGCAGCGATCATTTAAATGCATGCAAGGGGAAAAAAAACCCAGCAGATTTACGGTGTTATCATATCACTATATGTTGACATTAGGGACGTATGGTGCTGTTGTACAAATATCACACTGGGTAATCCGTTATTGACATATGTTGTGCAGCACATAGTTTGAATTTTAAATAAAATGGCTTGAAATCCCTTTACCACATCTAGGCCAAATATTTTATAAAGGGTAGTGAGTTATATATAAGATATTCTAAGCACGTGCATTCATGTAAAATATGTTTTCGTAAATTGTATGAATTATTAATTTTATCTAGATTTATATTCAAATATAAAAGACATGTACGTATTAAATATAACTTACCTATATAAAGGCCGTCCTTCGTCCGACAGGTATTCCTATTTTCTTCCTTTATCACAAAAACAATGACTAAATGTCCAAAGTTTGCATTGGGATACGGGTCTACTACCAATACACCATCAAAGGTTTCTTTTCTGCTTAAAACCTCATCTGGCAGTACTGCTTTGTACCGTCCCACGATAGTTTTTGGAGCTATATGTATTACCATTGAGGATTTGGGGATAGTCACCAGGTCCCGACACTCTTTCCCGGTCGTGAAAAACACATTATTACAGTCTAAGTGATGTACATAGTTATAAGCTGCCTCTGCCCAATCGGACTCCCTCAAGTTTCCCGAACTTGACCACTGTCCATCATCAAGGCTAAACCGTTCTGAACTGTTGTCCGTAATAAACGGTAGCACGCTTAACACTTGGATAAAGTTACAGACACTCAATATGAAAGAAAACGTTTTTTGCTTGAGGTAATGCATATTTGATGACTAGGGTATAGCTCCTCTTTTCACAGTGTGCAATAAGCTGTATATGCTGTGTAAATCCAGTGTAATAATGTAATCTCTTATATTACATCTCGGGTAATCCGGGGAAAATCACATGTTGACATCATATAGCGGATATCCAATAAAAACGAAAATGTTGGTATGCGAGTGCTTTTTTACGATAGAAGTCTTGTATATATGAGCTTATTGATCCATGTGTATCTAGATGTGAAACTTGGCGATTTTAATTAATCAAAAATTAGAAATCTTTGCACACCTTTAGCAAAGTCTGTGTTTTACAGAAAGAGATTCTCGTGGGTATGGCCAGCTGTGTATCCATGTTTGCCGCTATACCTCACAATCAGTGCAGAGCGACTGTTAACATCCCTCCATAGCATCACATCTGGTGGTATACCGGTATTTCCGATCGCCCTATACCCTTAAAGCTTCCCGATGTCTTCGATCAACCCCCGTTTTCTTCCTGCGTCTGTCTGATGTTGTGTATACATACGTCTCACTACTGTATACCTGTAGTGGTGTAAAGGCAATGAATGAACTAACAGTGCTGCCCTGACCGCCCCGGTCTACACCTTGACAATACAATACATGTCTACATCGTCGCTACTACTATTCATTGATAAAGTAAAATACGAATTAGCCGAGCTGTAAATGCCGTCAACCAATACCGTGCTCTCTGCTATCCACAGTCGCCGTGTCACAGGTATGCCCCAGTCATTGTCGACAATGCTTTATAACCACGACGGATCTCGATCAACGAGTCTCTAACAATGATCCATTAAAATTCATATTTGACCAATCAACATTGGTTAAGTGAATGCAGCAAAACGATTGGTTAGGTCAACTCTCATGCAGTTCCAGACGTTTATGTTTTGAAAATATGTATTCCTGTGATCTTGGTATGTCAATATTTATCTTTACACGTTCGCGTACGTCATAGCTCTGATGTATATGTAAAATAGACTTCTCGGGTTTGTAAATATTTATAAACTGTTTTTTGTATCATTCGAGTGATCGATTTGGTTCGATGTATGTGCACTAAGTGTGCGTTTTGGTGGGAGTAGTTTCCTGCTCATCAATTCTAATGAGAGCGGTGTATGTATGTTCTGAACACCCAACCCTTCACTTATAAAACAAGTATAATAATGCATGTGAAAATAATCTTTACTATTAGGTGTGTGGTAAATATGTTACAATATACATGATCACTTAAATAATTCGTTCATTTACTATCTAAATGTTCTGAATGACCCTTGCTTATTATTCCAAGTATAATCATAAGTGATATATTATTTTACTCATAACAATATTATTAAATGTCTGTAAGTACATAAGTAGGATCATATTGCACCTTCGTTGTGGCATATGTTTTGGAAAATATCTATGATAATAGGCGATAAAGTTTACATGAAAAGTTCGCTGTATCTATTTTCCTATGTCTTACATTGTACATAAAGATTATCTTATTAACCAACTCAATATATAGAGAAACTATTGTCATATAATGGACATAGAGGATTTTCCTGTTATCGTCGGTTGAGCTGAAAGTGAAATGCCAAGCTTGATACGTTCCTTTCATTGTTATTTTGTTTTAAAAATGTACGAGTACTTATAACAGTTACAGTCGCTGCATAAGGGAGTATGATATCCGCTAAGGTATAACAGAAATAAATGCTATCTCATTGTCATCGTGCAAAAACAAATTTTGTCAAAATCAATACGTTTCTTTAAATGTTTGTTTCGGGATTGATATTCGCAGCCATAATATGAAGAACGGTGTCTAGAGAGATTATCATCTAGAGAGACACCGTCAAAAAGAAGGAAATCGAAATGTTTACAGACTTGTTGATTCGATTCATGTTGTATAAAATTACATATTTGATTATTTTATTTGTATTTTTATTGTAATTATTTATAACAAAGTCGACAAAATATGTAGAAGAGATAGGAACGTATCTCTAGTTATGCCAGAGGGGGCAACATATCAATTCTGGGTTTAGGTGTATTATAAGTTAAAGACACCGAAGAAAAACCACGACTCTGCAGGGGGCGGCATTAGTTGCCTCTTATGACATTTAGTTTGATAAAGCTAGTCTAATTTTCTATTTGTTAAAATTGTGAATGGTTAACGTATCCACTGAAAATGTATTTTTAAACATTCTACTGATTTACGTGCCTCTCAGGGTCATTTTCAACTGTTCTTCTAACTACAGTATATTAATACCATTGGTGATGGGTTTACTCGAAGCATATATGCTGGCTATTATACTGTTTAAAAAAATACATAGTTGTTTTCAAATTGACCTATTCGATGTTTATATGATATATTCAACGCCGTACATACAGTACATGATTAAAGCCCAGGTGTTGGCTTACTCCACTTTATATCACCATATGAATGGACATTGCCTTGTTGACACGATATATCTACATATCGAGGTGCAGGGTCGTTGACATACTACCAGCCGGCTCGTGTTTGTCGGTAGTATCTTGTGTGTTGGACGATATCATAGTACTGCTCTATTGATCACATGACATCTCCCATTAATAGGCCAAAACTAACCCTTTACAAATCTTAATTGAATAATTTGTCAAAAACATCAGAGAGATTTCTTTAATCGCTGGCCATTCTCCATCGCCTGCTTTCCGAATATATGGCCATATGGGGATTATCCTCTTATAGTTTCCACTTCAAACCAATTTAGAAGGTAGGGCGTGTGGCAGGCGTACTCATGGTGTACATACTTAAAGCCCCCTTTGATGGTACCGCCATGGTAGGTGGGTAGGTTGTAGAAGTGTACTGTGGCCATTTGTCAATGGTGTTAAGGAAATCCTGTTACGTACATCAAAGAAGACGGAGACTGTAAGGCAATGGTCAGACACTGTGATCCTTACAGCTACTAATTATTTTGTACAGGTACAATGCGATGGGATTTTACTCATTTGTGATTTTTAAAATAACTGGAAGGCATGTAAAACTACATCTCCAAATAAACATATTCGTGTAAATATCTTCAATTGTTTCCCCAACTTAGCATTTTCAGTATGAATATAGAGAATTTGTAATTACATTTTAAGAAAATTAATCCTTATCATAATTAATAGTTAAATATGCTTGTTATTTAATAATCTGTCACAAAATTGACGATTATGTAACTGCTGTTAGCGGTAAACTTGAATAAAGATATTTGAATAAATTATAACGACATATTCGATTACAATATCTAAGATTACTGAATTGAAAACTGTGTTCAATATTTGCATTTCATTTTTTTTTTAAATCACTTAAGAGTGAAATTTCCTTATAATAAGTTAGAATTGCAATTAATGTTAATTATGTATTTGATTGCAATATTTGAGGTTACTGAATTGAAACCTGGGTTCATTATTTGCCCTTTATTTTAAGATTCATCTGAGATTGATAGGAAGTAAAAATTTAGGATCATTATGGACAAACGGATTAACCAGAAAACAAACAAATATATTCAGTCAGTTTTCAAGTAATTGTTGGCGTTTAACTACTATCTGACATGGAAGGAGTTTGTCTACGTTATAACATGTACCTATCCACGTTATAAACATGTGCATAAGACCATGAACGCGATCACAAGCCTACCGGATCTAAATGCAAAATATGACAAGCAGTATTGTTTATTTGTTACAAAAATAGGAGGTTATTATGTAATTGTTAAAAGTACATGCACTATTAATGTGCCAATGTACTTCTGTGTGATTATATTTCGGGATTCAATCTGGAAACAAGCGAAGTGCACTTGTGGTGGAAGAAATTGGGTGTACGTGTGAGAGACATATGGTAATTCTCCAATATGGCCATCTTGATTTATTCTCCTGAATGTATATATCACTTTAACACAAAGTATCGCATCTAATTTCATTTCGAGGATTTGATTCAAGCAAATTAGGCGTTCATGGTACCGAAATATTCAAAGTATAACTATGCTGATGTAACACAACGTAATGAAATGTTCTATCGAATTTTGCTGAAACATTATGTCATTTTATAGTATATGCAATAAGGCTGCCTGTTCTTTGGTTTTCATTTCGATTCTGGTTTTACATCTTTGCAACTTCTAAGGAAGACGTGTGCGTTAGAAACCAGCTTAAAGAATGAGTAAGTAGGACAGAAACTGACGTCAACAGATGAGTTTTGGTTCCTTAAACATTTTTTTAATAGGATATACAGATGAATTCCCCCAATTTTGCAGGGTCACACGTTAGTCGCCTCCGACGACCGGCAGTGGGATAAAGCAGGTATATTCTTAACCTGAACCTGACCAACGGGGAAGTACACGGATAGTTGTAGTCAGTATGTCCCTGACATTCGTACATGGACTAATTGTTGCTTGGTTTTGTTTTACATGGTTATCGTCCTATTAACAGGTAAGGTAATTCAAGACTCACCTCCATGTGTTTAATGTATGCGACCATGTGTGTATTTGAACTTGATCCAGGGTATGTTTGTGAATTTGTCTCCTTGGGGTAACGCGGAGCTGAAGCCCACTGTATAGTGCTACCTCAATGAAATACCATGCCGAAGGAAGCCAGCATACATACTGACAACGGGTTAACCAGTTGTTAGCCTTTCCAAAAATGCTAAACGTGATAAGGATTTGGCTATGTCCCACCCTTGCATCAAAAACCCATAGCCTGACCCACTTGGGCGAACGTTTAACTATAACGCCAAATGTATGGTATTAACAAGCAAAGGGCTAGCAAAAAAGCTAGAAGTAGAGAGAATTATAAAGATCCCAAAAGTTGCAATGATTGCAGCAGATTTATACTGATCGCTTTGGTAACCCCAAAGAGGGAATGAAGCAAATCTCCTATTCTGCAGGGGGTTCCCTCATTAGTCGCCTCTAACAAATGGACGGGTAGCATCAGTTGAATTCTTTTCTAAATCCATTATACAATAAGAAAATACGTCATTTTCTCATCATTTCCTTTCTGTTTCCCCCTTTCCTTCTTATAACATCCCAAATGCTATATTATGTAACAATTATTGTCGCTCTCACAATAATAAGATATGTATACTCATTGAAGAGACTGCATTTTATATGATGCTTTTACTTATGCCTATACCTTTTGCTAAAAAAATGAATTAAGTATTCAAAATTATAGAGTGATGGCTTCAGTTAAAAGTTCATAAAACATATTAATATATTTTGTGTGACTTTGATGATGATGATGACGTTAGCCTGCACAGAACTTTCATTTATACCCGCCATGTGTCAAACGCGATTGTATATTAATTATCCGACTGAGTGCAACAATGAAAATACATTTTTAAACGAAAACATAAATAAGATGGTTTTTTATCCGACAAAGGAACATTAACTGAAAAAATTGTCTAAAATTGATAGTTTGCGGTTTCGTAAGAATGAGAACACGAGTTAAGATACTTAAGTTTATACTTTACCAATGACGGGTTCATTGAACAAACACCGATTTACATGGAACACAATGCATTGCTTTTATTAATCAATCTTAAAATAATATCGTTAGAAAAATTTTCATCTCCGATCGTTACAGGGATTACAATGGTTCGTAAATTGTTTTATTGAAATATTTGTATCTGCTTTACTGTTTATAGTTAAGTATCTTGCGACGTCATACAACGTACACAAACGGGCTTTGTTGACAACAAATTATCAAAAGGTACCATGTCGATACACTCAACAATTATCCTTTGATTTGTTGTAATTGCAGTGTTAGGAGAAAGAATAGTGTAATTGTATA